CCAGCGCCAGCGGCTCGGCCCCAGGGCTACGGCCTCGCCGCAGCCTCGCTGGCAGCTCCATCGCTCCCGCGGCGCCGTGCAGTGCGGGCGGGCGCCGGGAGATGGTGCCTTCGCCCTGCCGACGCGGCGCAGGCCCTGCCGCGAGCCGAGTGCGCGGGGAAGCGACCCCCAGGCTTCGCTCGCTGCGATGCGGAGGGCAGAGCTGCCACTTCAGCTCTCAAAGCCTTCAGAGCTCGCAGAAGGTGGGAGAGGAAAATGCTTAAAAAAGAAAAAGCATCTGTAATGTTGGCTAGTTTGGGGCTTTTTTTTGGGGGGGGGGGTTCCTTTTCCCTTTTTTGCTTGTTTGCCCTGCTTTCCTGTTCAACTCCAGGGGATCCTGGAGAGAGTCTCAGCCCTTGGGAGGGTCCCATGGGGGTGAAAGCACTGCCGGGTGCTTGGGCGTCAGGTGCTGGCAGAGACGCTCTCTGGCCAGCATGGCCTCTTGGAGCTGCTCACTGCTGTCATGACGCCTCCCAGTCTCAGCCCGCGCTGCTCCTTTGCAGCTGGGCTCTGCCACCCCAGGGGAATCAGCACTGACTGCTGCCAGGCTGATCTGGAGATGGTCCTGGGAGGGGAGGCCATGGGGCCATCCACCGCGGGCTGATGCGAGGCCAGGGCTGGCCAAGGAGCCAGCAGTGCCCGGCTCTGCAGCCAAGCCAGTCTGAGCAGGTTTCTCCTCCTCTCTAAGTTTCAGTGCTGGCTGCTGGAGAACCTGCCTCCTCCTTGGTGGAGAGGACACAAGTGCTGGAAGATGCTGCTGGCCTTCTCGGGCGCATCCTGTGACCTGTGAACCTCTCGGCAGGGCAGCACAGAGGCCGCGAACACTGCTCCTTGCCCCCGGGAAACCCCCGCACACGTAAGTGAATTCAAGGTACTGTGCCCTGAGCATTGGAAAACCACCCGCGGCTGCCGTGCACCTCTGCAGCTGCCTTTAGCTCCAAGGGGAACGTTCCGGGCACTGGGGAGGGAGGCATTGCCTATGGAGCTGCCAAAGAGGTCGCCTTGGCCGAGCTGAGACGTGGACGCGCACCCGGTTCTAGTGCCCCGTCGCCTGCGCACCTGTGACTGGTGCCTGTGCTGGCAGCTCCCTCGTGCTGCCTTTACTGGCACGATAGAGACATAGAAAGCAAAAAGAACCCCCAAGGGAGGAAGGAAAAGTCGTGTTTTTTCCCCAGCCTGCTCTCATCCAGCCCTTGCTAAAGCAGCACTGTGAACTGTTTCAGGTTGTTGGTAGGGTAAGAGGCTCAGCCCCTCGGAGAGGCCCAGCTTCCCCAGGTGTGTGACATCCAGGAGGAAAGGGCACCCGCCCTCTGCACTCCCAGGAAGGCCCTGGATTCTGCAGAACATCAGATTCTGGGACGCCGGGGCTGTTTGTGCTCTACAGGACCCCAGAGATTGGATTTAGTACATCTTCCCCCTCACACTCAGAGGATTTGGCACTACCAAGGACGTCCTGGTAGGAAGAGGCCTCTCGCTCCCGCTACGTCAAAGACATGTGGCGTGGGTAGTCAGGACAACTCCAGTTGTGAACTGGAGGCCAAAGACCTCTCCCAGCCTGTATCCTGTTAATTAAACAGATTGCTCTCAGTTAATGAGGCACCTCTTGCGCTTGCACAATCTTGCAGCCAGGCCATCTGCTGCTTAACTTGTGCAGGGACTGACACGTGGGGGGCCTGAAAGCAACCACGCTGCTAAAAACATAGAAATTTATTTCATTCCCAAGTGCGGCTGAGCAGCCCACTCCTCAACACACATCCCAAAAAGCCTCTTCCCAGCAGGATGCTCTAAGAAGGGTCCCGTCGGTCCTATCTGTAGGAGTTGGCCTTGTGCTTGGGCAGGAAGGTGAAGTTGGTAGGTACAGGTCCCAGCAGCAACTCACTGCAACAAAAGAGATTTGTTCAGTTCACCACAAACAGCAGGGCCACCAATACCCGGTTGTCACAAAGTCCCTGGTCCACCCAGCAATAAGTGTAGTCAGAAGTATCAGACCAAGTTTCTGTCTCGCTGAAAATCTGGGAGAGAGGCTGCTGCACACAACCACCTCCAAAGGTGCCACTGGAGGGATGGAGCCTCCAGGGACAGGCGCTGCCCTGTCCTCGGGGTATGGGGTGTCACCCAGAGTCACTGCCGAGGTGGGTTTCTAGGGTTGGTGACTTGAAGAGCAGTTTCACTGCTGGGAACAATGTGCCTAAAATCATCACCAGCCTTTGGAAAGCTCCTCCCCACCTCTCGCTGTGCCGATGCAGAGCCAAAACCCTGCGAGTGCCAAAAACATGAAGGTCAGATCCTAAAATTATGTCAGCCAGTTCTATTGCAATCAGATTTATCCGAGCTTAAGACTTCAACTATTTCACACTTTGGAACCCATATTGTGTTTTCAGTGCAGATGAACTTTCTTTATAGTCAAGGAGGTTTAATGTATTTCCTGGATGCTGGTTCCATATAGCATCACTAAAACTTTCCGTAAGACATTTCAGCACAGACTATCCCCTCAGGGCATATAATTGCATAGCAAGAGTTTGTGAATCTATGGCTCAAAAGCAGAACAGTCAGTGCTCAGAGAACCCCCATTCTGGTTACTGTCCCTTTAAAATAAGCTTTCATGAATAAACCTAAAGTGACTTATAATCTTTTTCTTACAAGTGTGTGCTACCCACTGTTGCAAACAGTACAGGTTACAAAGCTTGGTGGACCCAAAAGCCAGCAGGTTCTGCTTGAAAAAAAAAAGGCATTTTAAAAATCCTGACCGAAACTCTGTGTACTTGTAAGTTGGTTTTAGGCAGCTGTTCCCATTACTAACAAAACGGATGAGGATTAGCAAAACCAGAGAAGGTTGTAGCTGTGGTCTATTTTTGCTAATCTCTGTTTCCATGAGATGGGAAATAGCTGGCTGCGCTGCTCCAACTCTCATTTCAGCTGGCTCTGGGTTTGCAGTTGTTTCCCAGCCACTGTCAGAGGACTCACAGAGGTGGGGAAAAGCAGTTTCCTGTACTCTGTCGCATCAACTCAGAAATCACATTATGAAAAAAGAGGAAAATGCCTCATTTTCCTAATTCCACAAGTCAACTGAAAGCCCTTGGGGATGGGGACAACCTTCCTGCTCAGCATCCGTGTGGACCCAGCAGAGCAAGGTCCGTTCGGAGCACGAACGGCTGCAGTGCTCTAAAAGCCCCGGAGGTCTCACGGCTGCGCTCTCCTTCGTTGGTTCCTGTGACTGTCCCTGGACGGACGGTGTCATGAGAGAGGTCACTGCTTTAGATTTGTGCTGGGTACTTGATGACCGGCTGAGGCAGATAACGGGGACGAGAGAGATCCCAGGCTCTGTTAAAAACCTTGTTGAAGTGAAGCACTAGTTAACCCTTCCTGAAGGTTTCTGAAAAGCTCTTAAATTTGTGGGAAGCTGAAATCACCCCAGTCACTGTCCGTGCAGGCACAGTGGCTTTGTGAGGCTCTGTAATTTCCTTTACTGGAAACCTAAAAGAATCTGTTACCTTATTTTAATCCAATCATCCACATTTTGGCTTGCCATTAATGTCTCCAGATAGTCTCTCCCCATGTAGTAAGGTGGTCGCTCATTGATTTTCTGAGGTAGATGTTCTAATAAGCCAACTGGAATATACCTACAATGCAAATATAAATGCTAATGACACCGTGTGCTATTGCTCAAACTGTACAGCCCTTCTATGAAAATGATCCCAACAGTTAAGGAGAATTACCTGCACAGAAAGGAAAGCCATTCCAGCAGGAACTTCCTGGTTTTCTCGACTCCCTGAGTATCAGATCCCCAGTGTTCAAGACCGTAGTTGGTAAAGTCTTTGAGGATATCAAATCTCTCACTGGAGGAAATATCCCAGTGTCTCTGTTCCTTAATTTCAGTGAAAATCCATGGTTTGATGAGTGCCCCTCTGTAGGTAAAACAAAATGGGCATTGTTATTTACATAACTGTCTATTTCTGATGATGCCAACTAATTTAAAAGACTTTCCAGCCCTTCTTTGTAAGTCAGCGGGACTTTAGAAGCTTTCAGTTTCAATAGGAAACTACTGTAAGTTCCCACAAACACAAACTGACTTCACCGAGTTCCAAAGAACAGTTTCCAACAGGAAACTCTTCCTGTGTTTTGAGTTTGTTTAGGCTTTTAAAAAATTATTTACTTGTGCATCAATAGAGCCCGGAGAAATAGAAGTGAGCAGGGAAATCCAGTCACTTGCCTTGCAATCATAATTCCTGAAACACCCATCTGCATGGCTCGATTAGCATCTTCATAGGATAAAATATCACCGTTTCCTGTGTTAGAAAGGAGGGAGAAGCCAGAGGTCAAAGTGATGCACCAGGGCAAGTCAAAATGAGTGAATCCAGGCATGGGATAAAATTTTGACCGGCTGTAGAGCCTTAGATTGTGCAAACAGGCTGTGTGATTCGTATTTAGAAACTCTGAAAGCTATTTCTGATTAATATTCCCCTTACAAGGAAAGGAAGAGATCTTTGCCCTGATCTCAACTACTAACCTCAAGATTTAGCTGGGATTGTCCATACTATGGAGCCCAAAGGAGTAATATTCCCCTTACAAGGAAAGGAAGAACTCTCCCTTCTCTTTGCCCTGATCTCAACTACTGACCTCAAGATTTAGCTGGGACTGTCCATACTATGGAGCCCAAAGGAAGAAAAGAAACACTGTAAATGAGATGCTTGGTGTTTGTTATAGCTGGCCATGGAAGTCCAAGCACGTGGACAGAATGGGGCTGCACAAGAGCTGCTGTGCAGTGCCCAGCTCACGGGGCAGAGCCCCGAGGGGCTTCGCACAAGAAAGCTGCTGGCCCAGCCCTGGCACGTGCACTGGGCAGGGGAGCAGGTTCCCCCTCACCGCTGTTTTGCCCCAGTGAAAGTCCTGGCCCAAATGAGCTGGCTCCAAAGTGGCTCTGCTGGAGGCAGAGTGGTGTTTAGAGCCAAGCAGGCAGTCACTGTTGGGACAACTGGGCCATCTCCAGGCTCCGGCCACGCTCCATGGTGTCGTCACCAGCAGTACTGATGCTCCAGCCTTTCCCACATACATAAAAGCCTGACTTCTCTAATAGTTTTAACTAAACAGGCAGCGCTTTTGGTCTGCTAAAATGTGATTTCAGTCATGATAAAATAAGAGAAAGGCCTACCAAAAAGAGGCATGGGGCTTGCTATTTTAGCACATTCTGCTATGTAGTCCCAGTCGGCAACCTTTGTGTACCGCTGCTCCCTCGATCGGCCGTGAAGCTGGGAGAAGAAAGTGGCAGTGAGACCCTTGACATAAACACTCTGGAGAAAGCCAGGTGGAATGGAAACACGAAAGAAATTTCACTATTGAAAAGCACTGCAGGAATCACCCCCTTTTGTAACGAATATAAAGCTTGGGAGTACCTTGGACAATGCCTTAAATACAAAAGCATCTGTGTTTCTTCTGTTAGTAGCAGAAATTACTAAAAGGGGCCCTGCAACTGGTCACAGGTGCTTGAAAGAGCCCCTCAGTTGTGAGGAAGGAGAAGGTCAGCCCTGTATTGTGCTCTAAGCAGACACACAAGCAAAGTTTCCCAGATACCAGGCAACGATTTGCCGTCACATCGAGCATCCCCATACCGTGACCATGGATGCTCCCCACTCCCGGATCTTGGGGATTATTTTATGAGCCACGTTGATCTTTTCTTGCACCCCAGTGCGTATCTTCACCGTCAGTGGGACATCCAGCACCTGCAGAGAGGGCAGAGTGAGGCTGGGCTCAGGCAGGAGCTGCTCCTGCAGCTCCTCTGCTGCCGGCAGGATGCTCTGACTCACCGAGTTCATCCCTCTGACAATCTGTTCAAACTTGTTGGATCGAGTCATCAGAGCGCAGCCCCCTCCCTGTGGGACAAGAGGTGACAACACAGTCAAGACTTTATACCTCTTTGCATAGCAAAGAGACTCCTGAAAGTTGCTCAATAGCAGCCCTTTACTCATGGGATGTGGGCAAGGCTCCTAGGCCAAGAAAGGGTCTAGTTCGAAACAGCACCTTGTCCCCTTCCAACTTTTGTCTACAGCAGGGCACCAGTGACAAGGAAATGTTCCCTGCTGTGTCAACAGGCTCCCAGCCTCCTCATGAAGCATCCATAAATAAACCGGGAGCTCTGGATCAGACTGGCCGGAGCAATCAGGCAGTGGGGGATGATGCAAAAGACAGACGTTCACTGAGATGAAAGAGAGAAAGAAGCTGCAGAACATCTTTTTACCTTCTTGTAGACCAGGTCAATTGGACACCCAACATTGATGTCTACAAAGTCCACTTCAATTGTCTGGTTCAGAAGTTCTGCACATTTGGTCATTGTGTCTGGAAATGCTCCCTCCAGCTGCAGAAAGGAGAGTTTGAATGAGCTTGAGGGGGAGTCCTCATTAGACTCGAGTGATCATTTGGCTGCGTGCACTCACCTGCACCCCAAAAACATCCTCCGTGTGATGCCGTTTGAGGAGAGCCCACTCAGAGGACTGGCCCTGAAGGAGGTTTGTGCACACAGCCATTTCTCCACAGGTGACGTCCGCCCCAAAGCGCTTGCATATCCTTCGAAAAGGGAGGTTTCCGCACTGGAAGACACAAGGGGTATCTGACTGTGTGTGCAGCTTGGGATCTGCACGGTTTGTCAGGAGATTTGCTCCATTCCAAACGTGCTGATGAAAAGCTTTGGCAAAAGCAGGACTGAATAATCTACCTACTGTGGTCAGTGGAGCCAAATAGAGCTTGCCTTGGATTTCCAACTGGAAAACAACCAGGGATGGGGGAAAACATGTTAGCAGAGCTGAACAAGCAGTGGCCAAACAGGAGGAAGAGATTCCAGTTAGCAATTTTCATCACCTGCCCAGGCTGAAGCTCAGTGGGAAGCTCAAATATCCCCTGGCTGGGTATTGTTTGCATAGAAGAAGGAGAAACTTAAACTGCTCAATACATTTTCACTGCTCAGCTTGGAGGAAACTCGAAGGAGTTTCAGAAATAGAGGGATGCAAGACTAGCTGATGGATGCAATGACAGAGGTGGTGAGGAGCAGAGGAAGGAGGCAATACTGTCTCTCCCTCCACGACAGCACCATGCAGCACACACAAACCAACCAGGCCCAAGTTAGTTCTCCTAGCAGATCATTTCCACCCTCACTGAGGGCTCAGCCTCTGCTCTCCTTCACGTGCAAGGCACTGCCAGCTTCTCCTGGTCCTCACCCCTCCAAAGTTAACACCACAGTTCCAAGCCTCATGCTCCCGCATCCTTTCATGACAGTAATGTTGTCCCAAGACAGTCCTGTCCTCTGCTACCTCTCACCCAGCTAAAACATCTCTTCTGTCTTTCCAAGTACAATTTCAACCACCTGAGAGAGGGCAGCCCTCGCCAGAACCTCTCCCCCCTCACCTTCTTCTTCTCACACGGCCGTAGCTTTATAATGTCTTCATCTGTCACAGGGCCCATCGTTTTGATGGGGGAACTCTCCAAGGCATCCATGGTGCAGGGACTCTCCAAGGCAGCTGCTTTGGGATCTTCTCCCTCCTCTGGTAGCACAGAATGTTCTGGGGCATCCTTGGGGCTCTCCTCAGGTGCTGTGCAGTTGGACACCTCTTGCCCCTCCGTGGAGATCCCTGAGGTTTTGTTTCCCTTCCCTCCCTTGTCCTGAGGCTTGCCCAGACGACGCAGGTACTCGTCAGCCTTCTCAAAGCTGAACTTCTTCTTGCGCAGCCGGTGCTGGAGGTCCTTGGGGAGGTTGTTCCTCACCAGCGACTTCCCTTCCCACTGCTTGGCCAGCTCCATGTTGATGATGTTCTGGTAGCCATCGCCGAGATGGGCCTGGGCAAAGCGGCAGGTCACACCGTAAATGCACTTGCCGAAGGTCGCGAAGAGCACGCAGTTTTGCCCCAGGTCGGCTGGTTTCACAGCCATGTATTCACTGATGTCATGAAGGAAGCGACACCGCGCGCCGAAGTAGCACTTCTCTGCACACCCCTTAAAACACAGAAGAAGAAGCGGTTAAAACCTCTGCTCTCTGCTTGCTCAGTCCACCGTGGTTTAACACAACCCAAGCATGAGCCCAGAGCCATCCTCTCCCAAAAAGGGGTCAGAGCAGCCACCCCGAACACCCATCACTGCCTGGATGCTGCCGGCCTCCCCTCCCACGGCTGGCAACACTGGAAACGCTACCGTTAACTGCCATGAGGAAGCAGATCACTGGGACGTGCCGTGGAGGGACAGTTACTTAGTCACTTGGGGGGATATTTTAACTCTAGAGTTTCAGAGAAACCAGTATTTTATTTGCCTGCTCCACGCCAATCTGCTAGGAGCTCGCAATGAGCCAGCTCCATCTCTACGCACCCCCTGGGATGTGTTTTCTGACTTCAAAAATGCTTCCCAACCAGCAGGGAAGCTCCACGGGAGCCCTGAATCCCTGCGAGACGGAGCCCGGCCGGGCAGGGCTGCTCTACCTGCGTCACCGACGGGCACAGCCTGCTCTTCTCATAGTGATTTGGTTTCATACACGGCCTGCTCTTATTCTGCCCGCGGGCTCTTTTCCGTTCCCCGGGCTCCTTCTCCCCTCTCCCAGCCTCTTCAGCATCCTCTTGGCTTTCTCCTTCTGCAAGGGGCTCGTCCGACCTCGCGCGCTTTGCCGGAGGCTCCGTCCGGTCGCTGCTTGCCGGCTCCTCTTCCTCATCCTCCTGACGGGCTTCCTCGCTCCCGGGTGTCCCCTGCGCCCTCAGGTACTCATGGAACTGGTCCTTGGAAGTGAGGAACCTGCGGAGCGGGAGAGGCCGCTGCCTGTGTCAGCGAGAAGGGGGCCCGGGGGTCCCTCCTCTTTGGGGGTCACAGCGGGAGGAGATGGGGTAAGAGGCAACGGGCCGTAAACGTGGAGGCTGCAGCACCCCCAGGAGCACCGGACTGGTCTGGGGGACTGGAGGGGTCGGGTATCCACCGGGGAGGTCACCCGAGTCCTGCCACCCGCGGACCGGACACGGATCGGGCACCCAGCGCGGGAGGGGACACGGGAGGATCCAGGCACCCAGCGCGGGAGGGGAC